GAGAGAGGGAAGGAAGGAAGGAAGGAAGGAAGGAAGGAGGGAAGGAAGGAAGGAAGCCCTAATGGAGGCGAAGCTCCCAGCCCTGTCCTGGCTCTGGCGGGCCGTGGCTCTTGGAAAGGTCCGTGTGAGGCCGATGTAGCGTCTGTGAACTTGAACTTGAACTTGGGCGTGGTGAATTACCACGGGGCTGGGTGGGAGTCGGTAAGGACGTTCCCACCCGGGCCACGGGGAGGATTGTGGCCGAGATCCTGGGAACTTGGTGGCCTGAGCTGTCATCATCCACGGACTGGAGATCTGTGGGGCTCACGCCGATCCCCCCCCAACCCCCCGTCCTTACAGACACCATTGCAAGTGCTTCTCTACCTTCCACATCCGGGAAATATCCCAGGTTGGGGGCGGGGGGGGGATGGAAGGGTGGGGGGGTCAGGAAATGCAGGTAACTTCTCGTTCATTCTCCCTTTGCTATCTAGAATGGGTTTTGGATCCCCCCCAAAATGGAAAGTTCTTTATCCAGGGAAGACTTCTTGGGGGAAATAAGGTCATTTTCTCAAGCCCCTGAGATTCTGAAATCTGAAACACATGTGTGTGTATGTGTGTCCATCTATGTAAGTATATCTATATATCTACGATTTATTTATCCATGATCTAGCGATGTATCCATCCATGTATCTATCTATACATTTTATGAGTTATCTATGGGCTATTTATCTAGGTATCATCTATGTATGTATCTGTATATAGCTATATGTATATCTATAAGTATCTACATACCTATGTTTGTCCCTATCTATTTATGGATCTATCCATATAAATATATATCCATTTATATATATATCTATGTATGTATGATTTGTTTATGATCTATAATCTACGTACCTATCTGATTTCTCTATGATCTATGTATGTATGTATCTATGTATCTGCCTATTTTGTATCTATCTGTGCATCTATCTATGATTTATCTATGATCTATGTATGTATATATCTATGTATCTGCCTATTTAAATATATATGTATCCACCTACATATGTAAATCTATTGTATATATGATTTATCTATGATCTATGCATGCATGTATCTATATGTATGTATCTATGTATCTGCCTATTTAAATATATATGTATCCATCTACATATGTAAATCTATTGTATATATGATTTACCTATCTATGATCTATGTATACATGCACCTGTTTATCTCTCTCTATAATGCATCTATGTATCTCGGATCTGTGTATCTATGGATCTGTATGCCTATCTATCTACACGTCTAGTATGCGTCTGTGATTTATCTATGTATCTCTCTACGCTCTATGGATCTGTCGCAGACCCTAAGGTGCTGGTGTGAGCAAAGCCTCCTGGGTATTGGCTCCAAACCTCAGAGCTGCACGTACTTGGCGTTTGTATTTGAGGAAGCGTTCCTCTCAGCTTCTGGGCCTGGGGCGTGTCCGGGGGAGTCTGGTAGACCAAGACTGTTGGATATAGGATGAGGAAGGTTGCGTGCTGTCTGTGTGTGTTGGAGCAGTGGGTCCTCGAATCCGAAGATGCGAGCGTTGGACAGATCTGGAAAGTGTCCATAGCTGAGGCTCTTGCTGGAATCAACAGAGCTGAGCCTTCAGCCTTCTGTCTCCTTCATCGGTCCCTTGGTCCCGGGCGCCCCGGCCCTGCTGTGGCTGGAGCGTGGCTTGTTTCTATACCCAGCTCTTCTATTATTTTAGTCTATTACTATCTTCATTTTATATCCGTGCTGGGATTTGAACCCAGGACCCGGGCACTTTTTCCACTCAAAGCTAGCACGTTACCACCTGAGCCACAGCTCCATCTACTTCCTGCCTTTTGGGGGGGGGGTTGGGTCACTGGGGCTTGGCTGCCTGGGCTGGCTTTGAACCATGATCTTCAGGTCTCAGCCTCCCTAGTAACTGGGATTATAGGTGGGAGCCATGGAGCCCTACTTTTCTGAATAAACACTGCTGTTGCTTGCAGTTCTCTTGGGGAGACACAGAACTCAAGGACTCCAACCGGATATCCTGCTAATCGAGAGAACCCCCAAACCCTTCGACTTCCCCGTGAAGGCGATGGTTTGGTTTCAGCTGGCTGGTGGCTGTGGGGAAAACAGCGAGGGTCCCGCACGGACCCCATTACACCTGTGACCCCGGGACTCCGCCACCCCGAGTCCCACAGGCCCTGTCCAGCATCTCCTACCTTTCACGATTGCCACCTGCTACCGCGCAGAACACAGCCCTGCACCCCTTCCTGTCACCTCCAAGTGAGGAACCTTCCAGATCTGGCCCAGGGTGGGGGAAGATGGAGAGGTGTCCCAAACTGTCGTAGCTGCCCCTGCAACTGGGCCGAGTCTTAATAGGAATGATTTCCTGCCAGTGGTGCACGCCTGCTATGCTGGATACTCAGGAGGCTGAGATCTGGGGATGGTGGTTCAAAGCCAGCCCGAGCAGGAAAATCCATGAGACTCTTATTTCCCATGAACCACTCAGAAAACCAGAAGTGGAGCTGTGGCTCAAGTGGTAGAATGCCAGTCTTGAGTGAAAGAGCTCAGGGACAGCGCCCAGACCCTGAGTTCAAGTCCAGGACAAGAAAGAGATAAAGAAAAAAGAAAGAAAGAAAGAAAGAAGGAAGGGAGGGAGGGAGGGAGGGGGGAGGGAAGAGAAAGAGGAAGAGAGGAATGAAGGAAGGAAGGAAAGAAGGAAAAGAGGAAGGGAGGGAAGGGAAGGGAAGGAAGAAAGAAAGGTGGGCTGGGAAGGTGGCTCAGTGGTAGAGTGCTCGCCTCACATGCATGAGGCCCTGGGTTCGATTCC